AACATTCAGAACAATTGCAAGGTAGGGAAATACAGTGGGAAGCATAGATTTCTTCCATTACTATAGTTCATATGGCCACTTAAATACAATTTCCAGTGTTTTCTTAATACTATCAGTCATTAACAGTGACTCTGTAAGTAAAGCCAAAATATGAATCAGAATATGGCACTCATCGATATTCAGCAAAACAGCAAAATTAGCAGAAAAGACCAACCACTCAATAACAGAGGTAAAGCAGAGAGGTGTCCCTCTGTAAAGAAAAATGTCTTCTTTAAAAAAGAGAGAAAATAAAGACAAACTAATGCTTCTCCTGACCCTGAATCTATTTTCTGTATATTTTTTCAAAACCATTTTAAAGCCATTCAGATCCTGCCACCTTAGCTGCTGAGATATAATCTTTTACATTTCACCCAGTGAGTAAACTCTGGAAAGCCTAACTCTCTTTTATCCCACAATGTAATCTGATCCACCTATCCTCATCAGGGGACATCTGGGATCCATCTTATCTTTCCCACTGGCTAGTTGATTAACCAGAAAGTGTTTTGAATTGGATTCATATATGGCAGAACTCCACGGACCTTATGAATTATGATGGAAGCAAATAAAAGGTCAAATTTTATTTCTGTGCTTTTAAAAGAGAAAATTCTGTTGCTGTTCAGACTGGGTGCTTAAAAATTGGAGAGAAAATCTATTATATTGTATTAATGGCTAAATACAGTAATTCATGGGATCATCTGACTCTAAATAGACTATATCTTTTCAGAGTGAGGAAATCCTAACTCAGTAACCTGACACAGAGTTGTTAATCCACAGGCATATTACAGTCAGTTAGAAAGAGACAGAAGGCCAGGGAAAGTGTTAGATTCCTCATTCTTGCTCTGTTTATACTTAATGGTGTTTCTGGAGACATATGAGAGGCTGGAAGTTGAGGATCTTTAATCAGGTGCATCCTTCTGACACCAAGTTTTTGGCCAGGTTTTTGGTGGAGGATGTGTTTAGTTCAAATGGTCACTAGACTTTCCAATAATTTTAATTGTTTTCACCATTACTACCTATGAGCCAGGTTCAGTACATAGATAGATAGATACATACATACATACATAGATAAATAAATATATATGTGAATTAATATATATTAATATACACACATATATTATACATATAATATATACATATATGTTATATCTATTAATTCATTTTCTTCTTTTAATTATCTCCATTGAAAACTCATGATTCTTACTACTAAGCCCACATGAGAACGAAAATCACATTGTTTATATCCAGTACATTCAACATTCAGTACAACCCAAGGAAAACCACATCTCATGGGCAGAACTGATAACATATCGTGCCATAAAGCATCCCTCCAGAATCTGATATTTCAAAGATGATGCCCAGGATAAAACGTTAAATATTTTTCAAATCTATTAAGACATCAGTTTCTAAATCTTACTTTTAGGCGGATTAGGAAAGATGGTGGTCTCATGAACTAAAGTATAATTAAAAACTAAAAACTTCATGCATGGTGAATCTCTATACAAATGAGAGCTGTTCTGTTGTAATTACTCTGATCATACTGGTGGGACAAGGGACTGTGTTGACTGCTTGAGTTTCCACTCTGCAGCTGGATGATCCCAGATGTATCAGGGGTTCTGTGAGGGTCTTGAACTGTGCTTGAGATGTTTTGGGTTCAACAAAGAAGCCTTTGCCAAATCCTCTTCCCTTAATTTTTAAACATGTGTATTTCAAGGGAAATTTGATTCATATGTTTCTGATTCATTTACACTTAAATCATCAAAATGTTATTCTGTAAGAGCTATTTGATGTCCAAGAAGCTTTCTGAACCTGTTTTATAAGTCTTCTTAAGACCTTTTTCTTAAAACAGGAAGTTGCATTTTGCCAAGTACAAATAAACTAAAACATTAAAAAGGTTCAAGTTCAGTTTCCAACTCTGAACTCTGGGTTTTAAGTGCATTCTCAATTTAGCAAAATATATTTTCCCACCCCTACAAAAATATGGGTGGAAGAAAAGATAGTAATGATAAAAATGAGTAAAGGTATTCATAAGCATTATCATTCTTTGAGAGATTTCTCCCATTGTGAAAGTTCATGAAACCTGTAATAAGTTATTCTTGGAGCTATTTGAAGCAGGTGAATTGAGAACAGAACATTTTAATGCTCATGGGCTCTCTATGTTTTCTGTTTTTGTCACAGAAAAGAAAACCTAGCATGTTAATATTTTAACTTTTTACTTATTTTAACTTCGAATGCCTTGCAGTCTTATTTATTTTAGTAAAGATGGGAAGACTCAACACAGTTTGTTGAATAGAAGGGACTCTGCAGTTTTAGGTCTGTACTAAGACGATCTAACATCAATTTAAACATAACGGACACTCTTCTTGGAATTGGATAAATGCAGAAAGTATATCTGGTTCATAATAAGAGGTCTCTTAATTATATATTACGCATATTACTTTCGTGCAGAGGTGATTCAGCTTGACTCTGTAATTCTCTTACAGCTGATTCACGTTTATTTCTAGAAAAAGGAGGTAAAGGTTAATTATGAAAGGGGTTGGGGACCATTCTAAACAATTTCGTCAGTGTTCTGCTTTCTTGAGTCCACTTCAATATTTCTTTCGTATCATTGAGAAAGCAAGTGACTCTTGGGATAATAAGTATTATGAACTGAAAATACTATTTAAACATTATTAATTAAACTATCAGTACCGCTGTGGAAGTTCCCATGCAATGGCAACCAGGGGAAACTTGTTGATCGTAGAAAGTAGGTTTTACTCACAGTCTCTCTTGTGTCTCAAATGGGGGAAATTTAGGAAGAGGATGTGTAGACTGTGGGGGGGGGGTGGGGACAGGCAGTGTTCAGCCATAGGGTTATCTCAGGACAGAAGTGAATGAGGTCTAAGCAGAGACTGAAAGGAGCTACCATTAAAACATGTAGGTTCAGATAGGCTGTGTTGCCATCCTACATCTTACCTGTTGTGTGATTCATAGCATAGTTTTGCAGAGTGTGGTTTTTTGTTTATTTCTCATGACGAACAACCAACTATCCCAACAAAGTATAACACAATTGATTAATTGATAGACCTTTAAAAAGTTTTAAACTAGAGCCTATCATGTATGAGATTAATAAGTGATGAATTTTGGGGCACCTGGGTGACTCAGTCAATTAAGCATGAGACTCTTCATTTCTGCTCAGGTCATGATCTCATAGTCTTAAGATCAAGTCCGTGAGGGGCTCCAAGCTGTACATGGAGCCTCTTCTATATTCTCTCTCTCTCTCTTCCTATGCCCCTCCACTGCTCACACACATATGCTTTCTCTCTCTCTCTCTAAAAGAATAGCAATAATAAGTAATTAATTTTAATTTTACTTTTTTTCAGACAATATTTGAAATCCCTTAAGCCTCGTTGGGTACCTATGTATCTATACTTACGTTATATAAATTATTTTTCCTTTCATACTATGTTTTCTTCACTCCAAGAATATATATGATACTATTAGTAAAATACCTTTGAGATTTTATATTGTGTTTTAAGCTATTTTATGTTCATCTTAAATAAACACTTAATTGTTTATACACCATGTTGCCTGGAAAGAATTTATGCTGCCCCCAATATTAAAACCTTATATGCTACTTAATAGTACCACTAAAGTTTGAAAAAAGAGTCAGGAATTCCATTTTATAAAATAGAGTAATGCTATTCTTACAGTGCTTCTTTGGAGATTTTCAGAGAAGGAAACCTTGTATAAAGAGAACCCTCAAATATGATCATGTAGGAGCCTGGACCTGCTAAAGGCCACATGCAAACCCCTGAGTGAGATTTAAAAAATTATAGTAAAACCTTTCAACCAAGGATATTCTATAATTTTTCATAATAAATCCTAATCTGAACACATGTGGAATAAAATAAACCTATCTGAAAGCCTTTCCAAGGGACAGGTGATTCCTGCCTTTTTAGAGTTGAATCATACTTGCTTTCACTAAAGTGCATATTGTTTTAGAGAGTAAACATTGTGAGTTACAGTTTTAATTTTAAAATGCCCTTTATAAAGTATACATTTAAAATATTCTTATTTTCCACTGTTCTCTGCCAGTGTGATTTAAAATTCAAATTCAGAGGCTCTCATAATTCTCCAGCTTTTTCTGTTCAGTGGCTTCACTGAATAATCACAGTAATAACTACCATGTACAGTCTTGCATGTGCCAGTATTTGGCTGACATAAGCCCATGAAATTCTCACAGTGACTTTGAGAGCTGAGTATTATTATTGCCTCTGTTTTAAACAAAAGGAAACCTAGATTCAGAGAGCCCCACTGTATCACAGTTATGCTCTCACCTAACAAGCCCATACCTTTCCACTCTGCTGTGTTGCCTTAAGCCAAGGAAATTCAGATATCAATGCTCTTTTCTCTTTTTTGTTCCCCACATTTAATTCTCAATACTGTGCAGCCTACCTTTTAGAAAAACTCACAAACAATCCCACAAAAATTTTTGAATGAAATTATCATAGCTTTGTGCTGGAAGTTGCTATAGTGTTCTCATAGCTTTCATTATTAGAGCCGAAAGCAACAGACATGTTTTTCAACTAACCCTCTGACTTCAGTAAGTTTTACTTAAGTTACAAGGAAACTGAAATAGTATTACATTGTGGAGGGATCCATGGGCCAATCAACATTGTTTGGAAAATGTATCTCAAGGTGACTATTTCCCAACCAGTATCAATCAGATCTCCCTCAAGCTGATTACTTTCCCATTTAAATTTAATCCAAAAATGTATTTCAAGGTGATTACTTGCTCAACTCTTTACATTTTCAGGACCAGGCAATCATATGACCTCTCAGATTAAATGGGAGTGTCCATCTGTAACAACCAGGACATTTGCTTTGTTTTCTAAGACTTTGACAGACCACACGGCTTCTCCAGTTTTCTGTTTGGGCAACCCTCATAACCTTTGTGTGTCCCTCCCACCTCTCTTCTCCAGGACTGCCCACCAGAAGCAGGTGATTTCCGAGCTCAGCAATGCTCCGCTCACAATGATGTCAAGCACCATGGCCAGTTTTATGAATGGCTTCCTGTGTCTAATGACCCAGACAACCCCTGTTCACTCAAATGCCAGGCCAAAGGAACAACCCTGGTTGTTGAACTAGCACCTAAAGTCTTAGATGGGACTCGTTGCTACACAGAATCTTTGGATATGTGCATCAGTGGTTTATGCCAAGTAAGTGCTGGCTTCTTTCTATTCTATTTTTCAAGAAGGTTTTAGCATCTCTGTGTACTGCAATCTCAATCATTCAGTGTTACCTTTTATAGAGCTTATAAAGGATGGCAGTTTTGAACACTGAGGTTTAATTTCAGTTAAAACTACAAGTGTTATGTTTGTGTCAATGAAAAGAGGGCTGGAATTGGTTTTATTTTTTCTTGCTTTGAATCTCAGCTGAATATGAAAGGCTAAAAGCTCTTAGATGTGTGCGTGATTTTTGTATTAAACTTTGAAATTACCTCTACTTTCGTTGTCCCTGAAATGTATTTGTATGTGCATGTGGGGTGTGTGTGTGGGTGTGTGTGTGTGTGTGTTTGAAGGCATCAATTTTCATTTACTTAGAGCTTTGGAATTACTTGGGTAAGATTAACTCTAAAATCTCCAAGTAAACTCTAGGCAAACTTATTTCTTCATTATTGTCACTGTAATTTTGTTGAAAGTGCGTGCAAACTATTGAAAGGCTTGACAACTTTCATCCAGGCAAGTCTTTAAAATAGAGATAATTCTAAAAAATAAAATAAAATAGGGATAACAAAGAGGTTTGATTTCTGGTATCAATTTATCAATTGAGTGGGAGTTAGTAAGCAGAGTGAAAGTTAGTAGTTAGTATGTTTTCAATGCATTTTCCATCTTTATTTTTAAATCTACTCTGAATTAGGATGACCAACATAGTTTTCAGAGCAAGCAGTTGGTATAATTTCTTGTGTGCTCTACCTGACCAAATGCTTTTATATTTCACCAAGTGGACATTTGGGGAATCCTTGATTCTCCCAAAACAATAATGGTTGAAATTTCTCTCTCTTTAGAGTCTCTAATATAACAGCTAACAAGGTTAAGAAGAATAAGCATAAAATATGTTTCAGTAATTAGTTGCTCCAAATTTACATGTTTGCTTAAAACCTAAACCTATATTCAGATATAAAAGGAATAACTGTAGCATAAATTACTACAAGAAAGGTGAGATGTCGGACATGATTTCTGCATATGAGAGGGGAGACAGACATGCCAAGCCTTCATAAGTTCTAGAAGCATGAGACAGGGAAATGGTGGCATGTCCTAGCACTTCTCAGGTAGGAGGATGGAGATGATGTATAGATGCCTGCGGATTGATTTATACACAAGAAATATGTGATTTCAGATACAAATTTGAATATAAAATCTTACTATTTTAGAGATAGGAAAGGCCTAAGGGATTATCTAATCAATATCCTAAAAAACCATATATTTGAACATTGTGATATTCGGTGCTTCCTTCCCTCTCTGGGATTTTCACTGATGTTGAGATGGAATTATGAAATCTGTAAAAGCTTTGGGCATAATAGAGAATTGTAAAGCAAATATGTATAGAAAAGAGGTTATGTTATAAGGAATGGCAAATAAAATAATAATAATTCCTCATGTGTGTTTACTATTGGAATAAAAACAGACAGATTTCCATTTGGTAAATGAAAAAAAAATGGGAAAATTGTATGATTTTCTGAAAGCTACATGATTGATCATGAAATGGGACTAAATTCTAGGTCTCCTGATATCTACTTGCAAAGCTGCTTGCACTGTTTTACCATAATGAATGGACTAAAATAAATAAGACAGGTCAGCAAATTGGGTTTCATTTATTCCTGTTGCATAGGAGTTCAATGTGGCCTCTCTTTTCTAGACTAATCCTGCCACCTGGCCTCACGTACGTTGGCAGCTGAAAGGGAATCCTATCTCAGGAGTGAAAGAATGAATTTTTATAGATAGTAAATATGGAATGGTAGTGCTGGGCATTTGGTTACAAGTATAAACATGCCTCCTTCACTTCAATTCTTGGGCTTGTGACTTGTTAGATTTGGGGGGTGCAAATGTAAATTATATAATATATGAAAAGAGGCACAATCATGGTAAAGGAGGTGGAATAAGTCAGATTGCATATAGGTACTAATACATAGTTTGGCTGAAGAGCACCTTTCCCCCAGGTACACAGTAAGAAGACAGGTAGTTTGGGAGAAAATCATGGATACGTGAATGGCAGACAGGACTACGGCTAACAGTGAGTGAGTGCCAAGAAAGAGTTTTAGTGGAGAAAAGACGTAATCATAGTTCTGTTTCAGAAACATTAATATAGCTGCAGTTGTAGGACTTTAAAGTGCAAGGCGATAGAGCCAAAAGACCAACTGAAAGGAGGCTCTTAGAGCAGCCAAGGTGAGGCAAAATAGAAGTCTGGGCCAGAGCAGTGACAGCAAGAAAATAGCAAGAAAACTACGCCTAAAACCAGGAAAAAGTTTTCATTTTGATTACAACTAGGGCAAAGGGTAGAAAGCAATATATCAAATTAATCATGCTCAGAGGATCACAAACTACAACTTAATATGAATTTTTTTTTAAACTTTTTTTTTTAAATGTTTTTATTTATTTCTAGGAGAGAGAGAGAGAGAGACAGCGTGAGCAAGGGAGGGTCAGAGAGAGAGGGAGTTACAGACTGAAACAGGCTCCAGGCTCTGAGCTGGCAGTCAGCACAGAGCCCGACGCGGGGCTCGAACCCACGAACCGCGAGATCATGACCTAAGCGAAAGTCGGACGCTCAACCGACTAAGCCACCCAGGCGCCCCTGAATTTTGAATGGATATAATTGTGGATTCTTATTACCATTACCCCTGTGTTTTCATGATTAAAACCTACTTGGGTTTTGTAAAAAGAGGGAAAGGACAGATGATAGTGAGATGATAGAGGAATAGAGATGGAATGTTTAAATGCAGTGTGTACTTTTTTAGAAGGACAAGACTAAAGCTAATCACTATAAGAAAAGCGCTCACTACCACCTCAAAGAGTTTCAATACATAAATTCCATTCTACTTAGAAAAGAATCCTTTATTTAGCTTATATCTGTATATTGATGATTCAGAATCTTTTATTTAGCCTATATCTGTATATTGATGATTCATATTTTCGGTCTTTCATAAGAAACATTAAGAAAAAAGCCATATTTTCATAATTTTTGAAACAACAGAAGTCTCAATGCTAATTTAATGAAAAGTTTCTCACATTTAACAGCTTCTCCTAGTTTCCTGAAAAAAACATCATCTTCTCTGCCCTATTTTCCTTTCTCTTCCATTTCTACTACATTTGTTAGAGAGTCTTAACTCTTTCTCTGGCTCTATTTTTGCCTTATTATAACTTTTTTGACAAGCTGTTTCAAATATTTTTGATGCTAAACAGATATAAATTATAAACTATAAAGAAGCTAGTAATTAGCTTTGGATATAGCCTTATCTTGATAGAAAATGACAGCATAACTACAGAGACTTGTCATCCACAAGTACTAATTATTTCAGTTATACCTATGTAATACTCAAGTTAGAACCCGTTCCTCAAACTGGGAAGTTTAACTGTTTAAATAAAACTGTGGAGTCTTTGCCATTCAGAGCCGGGAGATAACTTAGCAATCCATAGGAAAGGATTTCATAGAGAAGGAGACCAAGACCTAGGAACTGTCCAATGGTTGTGAATGAGTGTGTTGTCCATAATTGTGGATTTGCTTCAGTAAAATACTAGAATAATCACCATTTATAATAAATACCTTATTCTTACTCAGTGATATTAGAGTAACCTATTAGGCAGTATACTCACTCTAGTAGTAGTAGTAATATTAATCATAAAATAGCTTCCATTTTTTTTTTGAGAGAGAGAATGTGTGTGTGTGTGTGTGTGTGTGTGTGTGTGTGCGCGTGTGCGCACATGCTCACATAAGTAGGGGAGGGTAAGAAAGAGAGAGAGAATCTTAAGCAGGCTCCATGCTCAGTGCTGGGAACCCATCTTGGGGCTGATCTCATGACCATGAGATCATGACCTGAACCAAAATCAAGAGTCATATGCTTAACTGACTGAGCCATGCAGATGCCCCATATAGCTTTCACTTTTGAGTGAATACCATATCCAGGCAGTTTATGTATATTTTTTCCAATACAAGTGACCTTTGAACAATATGGGTTCAAATTTTGTGGGTCCACTTATAAATGGATTTTTTGTCAATAAATACATTAGAAAAAATTTTTGGAGATTTGCAACAATTTGGAAAAATTTACAGATGAACTGGGTAACTTAGAAATATGGAAATTTTTAAGAAAATGTTAGTTATGTCATAAAAACATAAAATATGTGTAGATGCTAGTCAATTTTATCATTTGCTTGCCTAAGCAAGTATACACCCATCTATTATAAAAAAGTTAAAATGTATCAAAACTTATATACAAACTCAGATTGTACAATATCTCTTCATTTTTGATGTTGAATGTTAGTCATACCTATATCATCTACAGGGTTTTCTATCAGCAAGCAATATTGATATAGACATTTCATCTTAAAAACACATGACATAAATTTACTATATTGATAAACACAGTACAGGACTAAAAATGTATTTTCCTTATGATTTTCTTAACGTTCTCTTTACTCTAGCTTACTTTATTATAAGAACACAGTATATAATACGTATAACACACAAAATATTTTTAATCAACTATTTATGTTATTGGTAAGACTTCCAGTCAACAGTAGGAGAGCCTCAAAGTTACACATGGATTTTCAACTGCACAAGGGTAGCTCTAAACCTCAGCTTGTTCAAGGGTCACCTGTATTAACAACTCTACACATTAGGCAGCATTTATTCATTTCACAGATGAAGAACTGAGGTTCAGTGATAGCACTGCCCATAAACACCAAGTTCTGTCTGGTGCTCCTACCCCTTCTGGTGAGGCTGAGTGGACAGAGACAGGAGCCATGTAATGTTCAGGAATGGTTCCCAAATAGGGCTGCATACCAGATCACTTGGAGAGGGCACCCTCCTACACTGTTGGTGGGAATGTAAACTCGTGCAGCCCCTCTGGAAAACAGTGTGGAGGTTCCTCAAAAAATTAACAATAGAACTCCCCTATGACCCAGCAGTAGCACTGCTAGGAATCTACCCAAGGGATACAGGA